CAGAGTACCATTATGTTTGCATAACACAAGTTTTCCAGTTGGCACTGCAATGTTCCTTTGTCAACTACCCACCGGCACACGAAATTCTTGATTGGCTTTTTCTGTGGAAATGTTATGAATGTATGCATAGGCCTGCCACAGATACGTGCCCGATTGGCCCAGACAGTCAAGGCCGTCCATAAAAAATGTGGACACGCAATACCTTAATCAGCTTATAGAGACTATTGAATCCACTAGCTATACCAGGCAAGATATGGGACGGAGGGGTACCCCCCTTACTTGTCCAATCCCTATGCACACTCTAGACTATTGTTACCTAACCCCCCCCCCCGAAGTCTGTAAAGAATTATTGAGATTCCGACCAAACAATGACCAACACAAAGGCTGGGGGGGGTTCTCTCCGTTCCATATGTTGCTTCAAATGCCACTAGCGACCATTTTACCGAGCCAAATGCAAAGCTTGCCCAGCAATGCCCGCCTTTATTTTCCCTGGCGTCAATAGAAGCGAGCCATCTCGCACGTTTGTATTCGGCTCGGTAAAATGACGGCTGGTTGGCTTCCATTTCACACAAAGGCGTTGCTAGTCCATTTTTTTTTTAAAAATACGTCCGTGCAGACAGTAGACATGTCGCACCAGGAAACGGTGATCGAATGATGGTCATAGGCCTAGTATGAAAATGACTGGCACAGGCTTAACCTGGTTGAATTTTTGGGTGATGTTGCAGCTTTTGTGTTTCACTTTGATTGTAAATTTGGTCTTTTCGAGCAATAACATTGCTTATAAAATTAAGAACTTTCCTTATCAAACTTTATCTATAATATTTTTCGTATCTGGCTGTGTTTGTAATTATTCATGTACAAATTCTGCAAAGTTGGGGAGCGGCATATTTCAAAATGGGATATTGATTCGCGTGAAAAGAACCAAAAAGTACAGTGCTGAAAAAGGAGAAACAATATCCCCAAAAATGTTTGATGTGAAAGGTTGAAATAAAGAAACAATTCCTTATGCAAAAGATGAATTACAAAGAACAAGTACAAAGCGGGTGTTACTGCATAATACAAACTTCGAAGAAACTTGTTGAAAGGTTGATGAAGCGGACAATGCTTTACGCGTAAAGCGGTTCCAAAGTGTCTTAGCCCCGCCTCCTCGTTAATATGTACCAAAACTAGGCAAAAGTCAAATTTAGGAATGAAAGAATCTTTTGTCTTACAAGTACAGGCAGTACATCAACACTCTTGGTACTACCATCGTGGAAAGTCCAAGGCGTTTGTGGACATTCTTCAGAATCAAAACTCAAGCCAAATTTCTCCCCAATCCAAATTTCTCCCCAATGTTGTCCATTGTAAAATGGTAACACAGCATTCAATGCAAAAGATAAAGCCACTTTGTTCAATAATTGTTCAATAATTACTTCTACTCAGTTCTGAACCAGCCCAAGGAATGTTTTGACCCAGCTATCGTTTTTCGTTTTTAGCACTACGAATTGGGACCTATTATTGAGGAAAGGTGATATTCTGAATATTCTAAAAACCTTGGACCTTAGTAAGGCCCCAGGTTTAGATGGGGTATCTCCCAGAGTTTTGAAGGAATGTGTTTATCGAATATAGTTTCTCCTTTGTTTTACATTTTCAACATGTTTCTCAGTACGCAAGAATTGCCCACTGACTGGCTTAAGGCTAATGTGGTTCCGGTTCACTAAAAGAAAGTTGGGGGTTGGCACTTGACAAATGTCTAAACGCAAACTTCGGAACTTTTTCTTGGGGGGGTGTTTGTTGTGTGTGTGTGAATAATTTCATGGGTTAACCCCCTAAAAATTGAAAAGAAATTGACAGTTCAAAGACCATAGAATAATTTCATTAATTGTTTGACAAACCTCAGGGATGTTGGCTTGCGTGTGAAAGATCGAATACCGTAATAAGAACACGCAAACTGCAGTCCCCAAATATCTGGAATATCATAAGATACTGGTAATTGGAACGTGGAGGAAAGAAAGCAAGAGAGAGCAGGATTTTTTTTTTCAAACTTTGGGGAGCGGCATATTTCAAAATGAGGAAATTGAATAGCGTGAAAATAACCAAAAAGTACAGTGCTGAAAGGGGGAGAAGCAATGTTCCGAAAATGTTTGATGTGAAAGGTTGAAATAAAAGAAACGATTCCCTCGTCAATATATGAATTACAAAGAATAAGTACAAAGGGGGTGTTACTGGGTAATACAAACACCAAAGAAACTTGTTGAGAGGTTGATGAAGCGGACAATGCTTTACGCATAAAGCTCCATACGTGTGACTGCATATGTAGCTCGTTCCAGAAGGCCTAGTATATAACACGAATGGCGGAGGCTGATTTTTGACACATGCAATCAATACCGTTATACATCATATTTGTGGAAAAACTTGCGAAAAATTGGCCACTACACTAATTTTCAACTTACTACATACATGTAATCTCACATTGTTAACCTTTAGTTAGCCACTCTAGTTTACAATTTGCTTTATTTATTGGCTCTTATTCTGTTCAGCTTTGTTCATATTTCATGTAGATTCAGTTTTCTTTAACTGATTTGTGTATAGAACGTGTAGAACCTTGGTGACCACCTTCACAGTGGAGACATGTATACTTTGTTCTTCGTAAATTGTG